GGTGGATGGATTTAGATGTGCTGTATATAGAGACTGTATGGGCAGAAGAATGGGATTTGAGTGCCAACTACTTGGATTGTGGCCAAATGGATACTATATACTCCCGGGTGAGTGATTCCAGAAATCCCCCTTTATCTTGCTAGTATTCCTAATATCTATGCCTTTTGCACACCTAGCAAGACACTGCCAGGAAGCTGGTCAGGTAATTCTCTTTGCAACGCCACAATTTATCAGATTATTCTCCTCCATCTTTTATTTCTTTCAAGTAGAAATATGAGCTGTCACTGCCTCTATAAACTCTTTCTTAGTATATTATTTATATTTAACCCATTTTAAGTAAAATGCATATAATTTATGATGAACACTGCAGTAAAATTTCATCTCAGGGTAATATTTTATTAATACCCTTTCTTCATAAGCTCTTTGGAATGGAGAAAATACTAATTTCCTGCTGTGAGTATTCAGGATTTTCCAAAGAATGAGTAATTCTCATTGCTTTTTCTTTATCTTAGGAGAACATGTTATTTAATTTTCTTTGAATATATAATTATTGGGGGAGGGAAATCTTCCCACTTAATGACTTTTTGGATTGAAAATACACTGAGTCTTCGTGCTATTTCATAGAGGTGTCTCAAATATGCACCCAAGCCTTTCTTTGCTTCCTATTTTACATTTCCATTTCTGGGAAATGTCATTATCACAGAAATCTGATAAGATGAACAAACAAGCACATATACACTTGTAAAGATGATTTGTCTACTTCTTTAGTGACTTTCCACCACACTCACAACAAGAACAAAAATAGATACTTTTCAAATCTAGAATCTTTTTTGTCAATGATTTAAAAAATACCATTTTCTGTTTGTTCATTTATTTATTTATTTTATATCAAGGCTGCCCTCCAAATCTACAAGATAGCAGGTGTGTTTGTGCAAATTTTACAGATAATTTGGGTGTTTTCTTAATTTACTGAGAGTTACAGGCAACATTTGATTTCATGAAATGCTTTGTGGTTGAGGAAGATTAATGTCACAACTCAGAAGGCCACACCACATACAATGAGACTAGAACACAGTTTCCCACATTCTGTGAATGTCTTCAAGGGTATACATGGCTTTAGTTTTTATTTCTAGATTATAATCATGTCTAGCATGTCTCTCTATGCTAAATGTAAGTAGTAAAAATATTAATTGGTGTGGTGGCACATATCTTTAACTGCTGGAGGTACATAATGAGTTATTAACCAGGTTGTGGCACTTAAGTCTAATGAGCAAGCAAACAAGCCAAAAGAAAGAAGGGGACATGGGCGTGGTATGAAATTATGATCAAATCACTAGTGATCTACTTCCAGATTGGTACACTAGGTAGTAATGCATTCAAGCTCTATGATTTGTTTTCAATACAAAACCTAAATGCCTCTTTATACATTGGTATTTGAATAAGAAGAGAAAATATGTCATAAAGATGCTAAAATAGAAACCCTGAAAGTATACTTCGTTTACCTGAATTTGTTATGGACAACATAGCAATGCCATCAGACAGGTACTCCTATGCTCATTTAGCAGAAGTAGAATGTGAGGTTAGTGGCTTTTGGCACCAACTGATACAGATGGGCTTATTTCATTGAGAGGTTTTGTTGGAAGAGTGGAGAAAAATTGTCAATAGAAGTTTGGCTCATTTGAATGGGTCTTAGTTTCTCTCCTGTTGCTGTGATAAAATACCCTCACAAAAACAACACAAGGGGAAAGAGGTTATTTTTACTTTCAATCCCAGAGGTTATTTTCACTGCAGTCTATCCTGGTGGGAAGTCACAAGGGGAGAGAACCAGTCCTGGTGTATCTTCAACTGTGAAGCAGACAGGTACATGGATGCTGATCTTCAGGATCATCACCCAGGGAACAGTGAACCTCCCCCAACTACCATCCAAAGTGATGCCTCCCACATCAGCCAACATAATCCCATAGGGCTGACAAGATAGTTCCACTGTTAAGAACATTTGCTTGTTATCCAGAGGACCCCAGTTTGGTTCCCAGTATCCATGTCAGTAGGCTGGGAACTGCTTGTAACTCCAGCTGCCTTCTTCTGACCTCCACAGGCACCCACACACATGGGGGCAGACCCTCTCCATAGTAAGAGAGAGAGAGACAGAGAAAGAGAGAATTAGAGAGAGACTGGGAGACAGAGAAAGAGAGATACAGAGAGAAAGTGGGTGAGAGATAAAGTCACAGCAAGACTAAAGGGGGAATGAGGACTAACCCTCAACCAGCAAGTCCAGATGACTGGAGAGCCTGTCAAGTTATCAGTATCTGTCAGATGACTGGAGAGCCTGTCAAGTTATCAGTATCTGTCAGACTCTGGGCACGCACAAGCAGTGACTATTGCTGTTGGTCTGGGGACTCTATTTTGTTAAACTTCTTGAGCCTTTTGTTTAATTTCCTCATGAAATCGAGGTTATAATGTTCAGCGGATAGATTTCAGGATTGCATACAATGGAAAACTACAGCAGGATAGATGTAAAAGTAGTCTCATTCTATTGATATCAACTATTGGGAGTAAACAGAGTTCAATTACTACATCCAGGGTTCAGCAGTGCAGTTACAAAGGATGCCCAGAGGATTCGAAGACAACAGGTTATGTAGAACTTTATGTAAATTTCAAGGGACTGCTTTATTGAATCATCTTGATTTCTTCATTTTAAATTTTATATTGCAATTGTTGTGGTAACATCTTGAATTAGGTTATCTTTGCTTTAAAATGGGGTCTCTATAGTCCTGGCCAGGATGGCCTAGAACTCAGAGAGATCCTCCTGCCCCTGCTTCTTGAGTGCTAGGATTAAGGCATGGTGAACTTCATTGTCTTATGGATACCTATCATTTACTTCCCTGAGAAGAGAGACAAACAAAGTACAATACAGATGAACTCAACTGTGAAACTGAAAAGTGGCTCTGGGTTCCCTCAAAGCAGAGGGGATGTGTTAGGTTGAAGGTTTTCTGGAAACTGGAGCAGCTTTGACAGAGCTATTAGTATTTTTAACAAGTAGCAACAGTTACCTTGATTCCTCCTGGACAATTACCTTTCATGTGTTACTATTTTCCTTTGAATTTTAGACATTAAATTGTAGAGACTAAGAAATTTGAAATGAACCCCCAGACAGGAAAAAACATATGTGTGTCACTCATTTCTCATAGCGACTCTTGGACTTTTATCTTTTAGTTAAGGTTATTACAGGTGGCAATCAACTATTTCAGTGGGTCTCTTGGCAGGTCCCAGTTCCTCGATTCACATTAACACACACACACACACGCACACACACACACACACAAGCTAGTAGGCAGCGAGTCAGTGTAAGGCATACAGTACTGTGAGTCACCTTCACAAGACACAAAAGCCAATAATGATTACTGTGACTAATTTTTAAACATTGACTCTCCGGTAGCCATGAATGTGGGCACAGTCAGAGGGAAGAAACTAAAAGTACTGGAGACACTGAGTGTTAGTGTTCCCACTAACTCAGGGAACAGTCTGTAACTAGATGAAGGGAATTTGAGGCAGGTTCGATGGTGGGGCAATTTCTGGAGTGACACCTGAATGACACAGTGGAAGGCTGTGCCCTCCAGCTCCAATCTTCTATCTGTGTTCCTGGACCCGCCGAATGGAAACACAACAAAAAGACCAAGAACCAAGAAACTGCATGCAAGAGGCCTCTGGCCCCCAGCCACCATGCCAACGCACATTCAGTCACAGATCCAAGTGGCTTAGAAGACATCACACGTGACGCCCTGGGCCCTTCACCCTTCCTGCAACCTCGGGTGGGCGCTGCAGGCGATGCGGGCATTGCGGACCAAGGAGGTTTGGCGGAAGGACCAGAGAGGGCGGAACTTAGGAAAGGGAGGTGACTGCCACCAGCACCTCGGAGGCCACTGAGTCAGTTCCGACCTGACCCAGGGGAAGCGATGTTGTGCAATAAATCCGCCAGAGGAGTGGGCTGGAGGGGACTGGGTGGCCAGGAGTCTGCAGAACCGCGCAGGAGGGTAGCTCTAGTTGTATTCAGACTCCTGCACCCGGCATAGCGGCCGAGAGAGAGGGAGAGAGAGAGAGCGCGCAGCAGAGGCTGCTGTGTGTGCGCGCGTGAGTGTGCGTGTATGTGCGTGTCTACAGGTAGCAGTGGCAGCGGCGGGGACGCGAGCAGGGGACCCGTCTGCAGCTACCTCCCCGCCGAGGATTTTCCAAGGCGATTGCTCATTTGGCTGATGGATCCATGGTCCCCAGGAGATAGCATCCTCTCCATTCTGCTCTCCTTTAGGTGCCTCCAATTTCAAGTGTGTGTTTGGGGATAATTTTATTTTTGTTTTTTTTTTCTCCTTCCTCCAAAGCTTCTCAGGAATTCTGCATATTGAAGCAGGTGCCTCCTGGCTCGAAATCCTTGGATACATTTGCTCTGCCAAGTTTTGCTGCTCCTGTCCCCTCCCTCTTCCAGAGGCTTCCGGGGTGCTTTTCTTTCGGATTTACGTACAGAGAACGTATATATGTTTATATACCGATCGGATAGCTTATAAATACATATACGTGCACCCCAAAGTCTGGTTTCATCTCTTCCTGATACAGCGATATGTTCCGGAGCTGATGGACACTGAGAACGTTATTCACAATCTTTTGATCCTGGTTTTGAACAAGGGGAGGGAGAGTGAAGAACTGTTTAACATTCGGCCATCATTAGGCTGCGAGCTAGGCACCACGAAGTGTTTCTGGTTGGAAAGCAGGTACAACCGGGGCTTAGAGAGAAGGTAAGGGGGCCTCCTGCTTCCATCAGGCCTGACATTTACCTCAGTACCCGGGACCGCTGGTAACTTCCTGCTCCTGCTTCTCCCCGTCCTCACCCGTTCCATCAACCCTACCCTGTCCCTGTTCTCCGCTTCGCTCCTCCTTTTCCCAATTCCCTGGGGCCCAGGAGAAGGGCTGGGCACCGGGTAGGGTGACTGTGCTAGAGGTGTGATTGTCGGTTACAGTTTAAATGTGTCTTTTATTCCCCCACTTCATGGAGTTTTCCAATCCCCTCTCGGTCTTTTAGCGGTCTTAAATGCATTTGCCCTTTAAAAAGAACAACAACAACAAAATGCCACGCCGATCAATGTTTTAAACACATCTTGGTGCCAACTCTTCACTACTACCCTCTGATGAAAATAAAAATAAAAATAAATGAACTTTAATGAACTGGGTGGTTTCTTCAATCCTGGGCTTCAAGGAATCTCCAAAATGCAGATAAGCGGCAAAGGAGGACAGCGGGCTTCAGCTCCTGCATAAAGACAGTTGTGTCACAGGGAGGGCAAATCCCCAGAGTTGAGAGAGAGGGAGCTAAGTCTAGGATAAGAAGACCTATGCAGCCAGTTCTTAAAACCCACCTTTTACATCACGTCCAGCCCCTGATTAACTCCCTGCTCTGGGGACGCGTTAACCGAACCGACCTTTTGATGGAGAAGTGGGCTCTTCTCTCTGTTCCTGGTCTTCAGCCAGCCTCCTTCCTCCCCCTCTGCCTGTCTGGCCCTGGCACTTTGCAAATCGCCGGTTTTGCGCACCCTCGCGGTGGGCGTTCTCCACTTTGCATCCTGCCCCCTCGGTCCTTCCTCCACCGCGGTGGCCGAGCACATGCATCTTTATCTGGGGCTCGCTCACGCACGCCCTCGCCTGCACCCCGCGACTCCCCACCTGCCCCGGCTTGCCCTACTCGCTCGTCCCCGCCTCCCCTCACATCCCTGACCCTGGTATCCCTTCATCCCGGCCTGCGGGGGTCCGGGACGCTGCTGTGGCGGAGGTGCGGAGCTGGCGAGGGAAGCCAAGGCAGGAAAGGCGAACCTGAGTGGGTGGTGAGAGGCCAGCGGAGTCCGTGGGAGCCAGGGAAGCCGGAGAGGAGCGAGACAGCGAGTGTGCGCTGCGCGCTGCCCGGCCAGGGCGGACGCGTACAGTGGCTCCGAGTCCTCGGAGAGGCTCCCCAGCCCCTGCAGTGAGCCTGCTTGCCTGAGCCCAGGGACCAGAACATCCACAGCCAGGAGGTCGGCGGCGAGGTACCCGAGAAAAAAAACACGGATTCGGAGAGTCCACCGAAGGGAGACGCGGAGGCTGAGCAGATGGAGGAACAATGCCGCCTCCAGAAGCGAAGCCTTTCTTGAACCTTCGCTGGAGTGTGGAGTCGGCTTTCTGCTCTGCTCTCTCTGGGCCTTGAGGCTACTTCTGGGCTTGGTTCAGCCTCTTAGTTTGGCAGGAATTAGAAAGTTGCTCTTCTTCTCTGCAACGTTTCCTGCGAAGTGGCTTTCAGATCTGCGAGCTGGTTCAAGTCAAGATGTCACTTTGTAGATCCCCCGCGAGGAGCGACTAATAGATTATGCATTGTTGGGCAATAAACTCTCCTGGGAAGAGAGGGATAGTCCACCCAAACGTTTAAAAGGAGCTCCACTGACTCCTGCCAGCCTCAGCACAATGCCTTGTGAGTAGAAATAACAATAATAAAAAAGCCACCTGCAGTTAATTTAAAATTATTTAGGATGAGATTTTTGAATGAGGAATAATTTATTACAGAGGAGCTGTTAGTCTGTTATAGAAATGAGGGAAATATGTCCCATATTTGAATCATTTGTGATTGATAATGTGATAATGAGCTCTTGCCTGTGCCACTGCTTTCTTTCTTTTTTCCATTTCTAGGACCATCGTGGTACGTGTAGGGTTGGGGATATGTGAATTTAGATACTTAACATTCTCTTTTTTACTATGTATTTTTATAGAGCATTGACATTTCATTTTCCCTCTTTTTCTACTAAAACTATTGCAGAGTATTTTGTTTGATTAACTGGAAGTTTCGTGCTATATTTGAAATTACAGTGTCTTGATACATTTCTCAAAATTAATTATAGTTGAGTATTAATAGGATCGTAGATTTAAAAGAATGGCATCTAGAGAAGGTGTATGTGTTTGATAAAAATCTATAAATTGTCTCAGTGTTACCAGTTATTACAACCTATAGAGTGCCAGGTATTCTTTTAAAATGAGTTGAGCAGCCAAGACCATGTGTGTATTTAGAATATCTAATGCAAAATGCAAAATCCATTAAGTTTACTGTGTCCTTGGCATAGAATGAATCGAAGTCTCCTCACACTGCCTAGTGTTGGAGTGATTCACAGAGAATGTGCAAGTTAATCATTGCTCGGGCCTTCTGATGACACGGTGTGATTAAAAGAAGTAACTGTTTTCTATAAACCTGTTCTTCTACTGTCAGTCTTTGCAATCCTAGCAAAAGCAGAACAGGCAGTGCTCTTTAGAAGCAAGCCACATCAGAGAGCCTGGGGTAACAGGAGTCCCTTTGGGGACCTCTTTCTCCTCCCCCACCCCAGCACTGCTGTCTGTCAATTTCTATTTTGTGTGTGGTTTTGTTTTGTGAAAATTGCCATTTTTATTTAGTGACAACGTATTTCCTTATAAACATTCTTGGATTGTTTGGAGTTGGAGGAGGGCTACCCACAGGAAGTAGATGGAGAGTCTCTATGCTTGTTTCTGATGGGGGAAGGGTTGCCTAGAAGTCCAGCTGAGTCTGTGCAAGGTGAGATGACTTAAGAGAGAGACTAAAGTCTCCACTTTTTAGCATTTTCATACTGTTATTCAGCAGTAACCCCTGCCTCTTTTTTCAAATTCCCTTAAGTTATCCCTTTAGCTTTTGAAAAATAAAATGAAAACTTAGGATCATAACGTCACTAGAACTAGAGACAAATTTAAGTTCCTAATTTTTTAAAATCTAAGGCTGATGTCATTGGCATTGTAGGACAATAGCCATATAGATATAGGTATAATTGGCATACCTTTCTCTGGGTTGAACTAGTTTTTAACATTTTTTTAGCAAAGCTTAGTCATAGATATCTTTAGTGGCCCCTACCTCCACTGAAGACTTACTTTACAAATTATCTAAAACAGCTAAGGTAGTTTTTGTAAGCAAAGACCAAATGACATTAAGAGTAACACCAGAAATGTCAACAGACTGACAGTGTAGAATCTTATTTAGTTTGTCATGCTTTGTCTTATTAATGTGAAGTCTGACAATAATTTCCTCCCTATTTATGATCATAAATATCATTTTATAAATTAGATTATGTTCTCTTAGTTATATTTCAACTATTTGCAAGTAGAGTCACCCATATCCAAAGCACCAGACTTAATCTTTCTATACACGGGTCTTGAAGATACCTTGATATTGCCCAATGGTTCTGGTGGCTTACCTGCCAATGTTCATAATCATATGAGAATTGACTTTTCACAAACTTTACTTGCAAACTTCCTTCACCTTGTGCTTCCCCCAAATCTATTTTTTGGTCTATTAGCATGAATATTGTTATTTTCCCAATGCTGCATAACACCTTAAGGTTTTGTGCTTTGCTTATGTTAATTCATCTTCATAGATCCAGCTCTGCACACACCCACCACCCAGAAGTTTAGCTCCCTATGGCTATCTTTGTTTTCACTCTTCTCCTTCCTTTATCCTCCCTCTGACATGCTATTGATCCGACAGGCACCCATTTTTTTAAACATTTTGATGTTCAGTGTCTTTATTGCATGGTGGATTGCTGGAGGTCAGATCAGAAACCACATCGGATTTATCACTTCATTTTGAAATCTTATCCCCTTCAGAACATGAAGTAGATCACACATGAATATCACATATTCTTTACTACTGTATGTCACTATGAAGTAATTAATAGCCTAGCAGTGGATTAGGGAAGTAAGTTTATTTAATATCATATTGCCAGAAGTCAAAGACAGAAGATAGGTAAAGCATTTGATCAAGGAATTAAGTTTCTGTTATCTATGTACTTCGCTCTCATGGTAAGAAGCCACCAAACTCATGTTTGCTTTCTAGGCCCCCAAAAGGAGAGGGTGACAAAGATAATAGAACACATTGTTTCAGAACTCCCCAACATTTACATTGCTGCTTTGTGGGACGGGTTAATATTTTCTTTGCTGTGGGAAAGGTTCTGCACACCAATGATGTTCAGCAATATTCATGGCCTTTACTCACCTGTCCTGTAACCAAAGATGTTTTCCTTGATACTGCAAGCATCCATGTGTGAAAAAATTGACTGTGGATGAGAAGCATTGCTCTATAGTGAGAAGGAAGAATCTGTTTCCAGCACTCTTTTACTTTGCATATCAGTGGTAGTGAGTGTCTGTTCTGGGGTAGTAAATGGGCCTTGATGAGACTGTAATAAAGATGGAAGATGGAGAGCAGAATCGAGAGGAGTGAGGGGACCACTCACATCTGCTAATTTCCATTTTCTTGTTACCTCAGACCAATGACCTGTGGTAACTCCTATGTATCTGATGCTGCTATATACATATTTTGGTGTATGTTTGATATCCTGAACAATTTCAGAATCTTTGAGGAGAGAATGGACTTGAGATTGAAACTATTACTGCTTGCTACAATAAAAATATTTCAACTAAATATTTCAGAAAGGTGAAAAAGACAAGTACATATCGTTCAGACATGATAAGTGTTGATGAATTAGCTGTGATAATAGTTAGACAGCAAGTGGGCAGAATGGAGGCAGCTTTGTCTTCTTAACACTTTCCACTTCAGACATTGCAACATCTTCTAGTCTATCAAGGAAAGTAATAAAGTCTACTATTTATGCTTACAACTCAGGAAGTGGTCAATTATATGAAAGAGATAAAAGGAAATTAAAAATGCTGATCTTCAGTTAAATATCTCTTTCCATCGCGTACATTTTAAAAGTTATCACATGTTGGTGGCAGAACTAGCTAAGATAATAGTTTCCTGGATAGACATGTTAGCATGAACAGAAACTAAACTTAAATTGTGATTCTTAACTGTTTACCTCAGTATGGTAATAGAGGATACACTGCTTTTCAAAGACATGTCAGGATTGCTATAGATGGCCAATCAACTTGTCCAATATTTTCTCTATGTTTTCAAGTTTTACTGTCTATAGGTTTATTGGAAGCCAGATTTTGTTCCACTATGTTCAATGTGGAGTTATAAAATATTGTGACTCTAGGCAGCTTTTAGCTTTAAGTACCACAGTATCCAAGTAAAGATGTAGTTCAATGATAGTGGGCTTGGTGTGCCTAGAATGAATGAGTCTAAGTTCAACTATCAGCACTAAAGAAAGCAAGGGGGGTAAAACAACATGTGATGCCCAGTGAAGGCCTTTGCAAATAAGGTTGTGCATCGTGAATGATTTTGGTGATGTGCTGAGCTAGGGTTGGCTAACTCAGAAATGTAATGATATCAGCTTCATCATAAATCCATTGATCGCCTATCCTGGGGCTAAAGTGGCAATCACAGAAGCAAAAAAACATCTTTATACAGTCTCACATCAAAAGGAGGGAGCAGTCTTTCTGGCATGGAAATGTCTAATGTTATTAAGGAACAGTCTACTTAGTACTACCAGTTAAGTTCCCTCATGCACAGTGCACAAACACTAAAGTACCTTCCAATCTTGGTTAGTAACTGACCTAAAGGAGGATCTTCCATTCTCATGAATACACTCAGTCCTGCCCACTTAGGGGTGGAAGGCTGGTCTACTTCTTTCTATGGAAGTGGCGGAATCACCCTCAAATCAGAACAATGCTAGCTGGGAGGACGAAGGCAATAGTCATGAAAAAGGCCAAACAACTCCTATTTCCACAACCATTAGGCTTATTTCCTCAAATCTTTCATGAAACAGAATGCCTTATATTAAAATCAAATATACAAAATGTAATCAAATCATTTTTGGACCCATGGCCATAATTAAATTCATGTCAGACTGCAAGCTTCTGAAGTTGAATGCACATATTTGTGATATTGCAGAGGGTTTTATTTTTGTTTGCTCATTTTATTTTTTGTTTGTTTTTCACTGTTGCTGATTTATTTTTGTTTTATTAATACAACCTGGAGAATTTTTAAAATGAATACATGTATTCTGGATGGAAGAATGGTTAACACTAAATTAAGGTACATTGCACATATAGATCAGAAACATTCCCCATCTAGAATGACTGAATTAGACTGTTAAACAAAGCAAGTCATCCTTGCCCAATGGGTCACATGTCCTCATCTGTGTTTCTTACCAATTTGTTTTTGGAACCATTTTAGAAATGACCAATTCTTTGGCCAGTAAATCTCTTAAAGAATGACTTGATTTTGACTATATCCAAATGAAAATTCTACCTTTCGTGATGTTTATGTAGAAGATCCTTGGACTTAATAATTTCAAAGTTACAGGGTATATTCTAAACTAGGAAAATTCCAATCTTACTTGGTAACTGACCCAAAGCAGGACCTTGCAGTCTCATAAAGGCACTCAGTCTTCCCCAGTTTCATAGACCTCTGATAACTTAGGAAATAATTTTCCAAGAGTACATGATATTTTGATAATTTTAGGAGATACATAATATAATGTGATCACATTCACTCCATTATACCCTTACATCCTTTTC